CCACAAGGATCAAGAAGGGTGGGTAGGATGGAGTCCCACAAGGATCAAGAAGGGTGGGTAGGATGGAATCCCACAAGGATCAAGAAGGGTGGGTAGGATGGAGTCCCACAAGGATCAAGAAGGGTGGGTAGGATGGAGTCCCACAAGGATCAAGAAGGGTGGGTAGGATGGAATCCCACAAGGATCAAGAAGGGTGGGTAGGATGGAGTCCCACAAGGATCAAGAAGGGTGGGTAGGATGGAGTCCCACAAGGATCAAGAAGGGTGGGTAGGATGGAATCCCACAAGGATCAAGAAGGGTGGGTAGGATGGAGTCCCACAAGGATCAAGAAGCGTGGGTAGGATGGAGTCCCACAAGGATCAAGAAGGGTGGGTAGGATGGAGTCCCACAAGGATCAAGAAGGGTGGGTACCTGGAGGTTACCTGGAGGTTATTCCGGGGATCAACGCCCCCGCGGCCCGGTCCATGACCAGGCCTCCCGATGGATCAGGGCCTGATCAACTAGGCTGTTACTGCTGGCCGCACGCAGTCCAACGTACGAGCCACAGCCCGGCTGATCCGGCACTGACTTTAGGTATCTGTCCAGCTCTCTCTTGAAGGCAGCCAGGGGTTTATTGGCAATTCCTCTAATGCTTGATGGGAGGCTGTTGAACAGTTTTGGGCCCCGGACACTTATGGTGTTTTCCCTTAGTGTACCAATGGCGCCCCCTACTTTTTATTGGGGGCACTTTGCATCGCCTGCCCAGTCTTTTACTTTCGTAGGGAGTGATTTCTGTGTGCAGATTTGGGACCATTCCTTCCAAGATTTTCCAAGTGTAGATTATGATATATCTCTCCCTCCTGCGTTCCAACGAGTACAAGTCAAGTGCTTCCAAGCGTTCCCAGTAGTTAAGGTGCCTGACAGAACTTATACGTGCAGCAAAGGATCTCTGTACACTCTCTAGATCTGCGATTTCACCTGCTTTGAATGGAGATGTTAATGTACAGCAGTATTCCAGCCTAGAGAGAACAAGTGATTTGAAAAGGATCATCATGGGCTTGGCATCTCTCGTTTTGAAAGTTCTTATTATCCATCCTATCATTTTCTTTGCACGTGCGATCGTGGCACTGTTGTGATCCTTGAAAGTGAGATCCTCAGACATTACTACTCCCAGGTCCCTTACATTATTTTTCCGCTCTATTGTATGGCCGGAGTCAGTAGTATACTCTGTTCTAGTTATTATCTCCTCCAGTTTTCCATAACGGAGTAGTTGGAATGGATGGAGTCCCACAAGGATCAAGAAGGGTGGGTAGGATGGAGTCCCATAAGGATCAAGAAGGGTGGGTAGGATGGAGTCCCACAAGGATCAAGAAGGGTGGGTAGGATGGAGTCCCACAAGAATCAAGAAGGGTGGGTAGGATGGAGTCCCACAAGGATTAGAAAGGTCAGGCAGGATGAAGGAATTCCCACAAGGGTCAGTAATGCGACAAGTACTGATCCTCTTAAGTAAACCAAATGACAGAAATAACAGACCAGTTTAGCTGTTTGCAGATTATGTATAATTAATGTGAATAAAAATAACGAACGAGACAGTGAAAGACTACAAGATAACCTGGACGCACGACGGTGAGTCACTGAAGAAGTTACTATCATGAAACTTAACAAGTCTACACTTATGAATATCTGAAAAGTTGGGATGAGGAGTAAAGACTAGAATAGCAAAGGCTGTAAGCTCTAAACTAGGAGGCACACCTTGAGAGAAGTATATAACCAGTAATGTCCTTCAAGAGGTTCTTGTGCGTCCTCCGAAGAGCTCGTGACCTAAGGAATAGGAGCTATCCTTCCATCGGATCAGACTTAATTATCTCCCGTTTCCAATGAGCTGATTCCTCAAATCAGTTCCTGATCAGCCGGGTTGTTGTGCACAAGTTGAACTGAGGGCGATGGGCACCAAGAGTTTGAGCGAGATCAGACCAATAACCAGGAAACCTGGAAGCGAGGGTGGTAACTAGACGTGCTCCTAAACCTCCCTGCCACGGTAATGTGGCCCACTCTCGGAGCTTTCATATAACCGAGCCTAAGACACACACACACACACATATATATATATATATATATATATATATATATATATATATATATATATATATATATATATATATAAACCATACCCCGGCTGGAGTTTTGAGACTATGACCGCGGGTTCAATCCCGGCCGGGGTATGGTTTGTTTGCAATCGTGTCATTACGATTTCTTGAGTTATATATATATATATATATATATATATATATATTATATATATATATATATATATACACACACACACACACACACACGAGCCAGACGTACAAACAACTGAACTAGACGGGCACGTAATATATGCAGAAGTACACACAACCTAGGCAAACACACAACTGAGCCAGACAAACACAAATGAGCCAGACAGACTCGCAGCTAAGTCAGACAAACACAAAGACCAGGGTGACAGTACCAGGCGGGTTATACTCACCACGGACATTCTTCATGACCATCTCTCAAAGCAAATTTATAGCTGGAGCGAATGCTTGCCTCTGTAATGCATGTATGTATACTGCTGTACTGCGTTATTCATCAACGTACTCTTTCGCGTTTAGCGATCAAGCATAAATGCATCAACGTTATGCAGCATGAAGGCACGTACGTAATAAGGAGCTCCGTGGAATACCAATAGAAGGCAGACAATGGCTGGTGTCTTGTGTAATGCAAGAGGTTGGTCGAGTATATGGCAAGAGCAGGACGAAATTATTGTTTATAGTGGTCTGCCGACTTCTGCCTAGCCCCCTTCCTCCTCCTCCCATCAAGTTATTAATGGGAGGATGGAGGTAGTAGGGGATGGGGCGGGAGAAAGAGGAAGGGATTGGAGGAGAGGAGAAATTCCTTCCAAGAGGGAGGAAAGGGATGTTAGAGGTAGAGGTTACGAGAGGTCGCCTGCTTTTCTGAGTACATTGTTCTACACTCCTTAAAATTTACGGTGACGGGGTCTCGAGCCTTTGCTCTCGGCCCTGCCACCTGGGCACAAGAGAACGCTTTTACAAGTTCTCTTCTTCGTTGGTCATGTCATATGTATCCTTAAAACTGTGTGTGGTGTTTGCTTTCATATCTTGCCATCTAAATCATTCCTCTTCCTTATCATCTTTTAGAAAAGGAAGCTTATACCACATTCGCCAGGCTTCCTCATCAAGTCATCTGAATAGCTGCATGGCTTCCCTGGTGCCTTACAACTAATTCATCTCCTTTAGCCTCTCGTCACTGGTCGGCCCTCTGATTTGTACCTCTAGGAGTCTAGGCCTAGGGCATTAGTACTCATGCCCAGAATAGTGGACACGACTGCTGTCACTGGTGAGCACCAGTAGCCGTGCCCAGGCACACGTGGGCACCAGAAATCGTGCACAGCTGCTGATGGGCACCAGTAATTGCGCCAAATATTTGTAGGCACTAGTAATCGCGCCGATACTTGTGGGTACCAATACACGAAAATACTGAGAAGGAAATTATAGGTTAAGTAGAGTGCATAACTGAATTAGAAGATAGTTATGCAAGAATAACTAAACACGAGACATAATTAGAACAGCAGGTGCAGTTAGCATAGAATATTTCTGAAAATGTCAACAAAAGCTTATAGAATGAAAGGAAAGAATATGAATCCAAGATTGAAGACAATTTTTTGCAACTACATAAAATAGGTTGAACTGGTTGGATTAGCTAAAGAATTCACTGTTAGTACCAATATTAGTCAAGAATTTAAAAAGGAGAGTTACTGAGGTAGAGTGCTGACAGAGCTATAACAGTTATTGCTTATGGTTGCATTGAAAGGGAAACAAACTCACGAATGGAAAGAATCAAAGAGGAAGAACACATAAATGAAATGACAAAATTAAAATTATGGCCTACTAGCACGTTAAGAGACCATACAATAAGTGTCAGGGGCCCGAGACTGTTCAACTGGCTCCCAGCATACATAAGGGGGATTACCAACAGACCCCTGGCAGTCTTCAAGCTGGCACTGGACAAGCACCTAAAGTCGGTGCCTGACCAGCCGGGCTGTGGCTCGTACGTTGGTTTGCGTGCAACCAGCAGCAACAGCCTGGTTGATCAGGCTCTGATCCACCAGGAGGCCTGGTCACAGACCGGGCCGCGGGGGCGTTGACCCCCGGAACTCTCTCCAGGTAAACTCCAGGTATAGGCCTACTGGTAAATATGAGAAAGATAAGTATAGGTCACTGAAAATGTTTACACGGATTGAGTATAAATAAGAAATTTAAAAAATAAGTTAACAAGAAGCAGGAAATGGAGGGCAATAAGGATATACAAATTAGACAAGAACTTTCTAAGAAGTACAGTGTAAAAAAAAAAGATTTTATAAACACTGCTAAGAGGGTGAACGAGGGGATTATTATTATTATTATTATTATTATTATTATTATAATCAAGGGGGAAGCGCTAAACCCGGAGGATTATACAGCGCCTGGGGGGGGGGATGTGGAAGGCATTCAGGCTTAATTCGGGGAACTGGAGCACAGATCCAATTCCCTAAATCAAGAGCCCCTCACCAACATCAAGGAACCTTCCTTGATGATGGGTGAACGAGGGGAGAACCGAGATTTATTTTACCGAAAGTAAAATGACAAAAAATGAAAATGACTGAAAAAAAAAACTAAATCCTTACAAGATGGTCTGGATACATCGACCACATGAGAGAGACGGATAATAATTCAATGTAGATAAATGTCATGTAATGGAAAAGATAGTATTAGATAAAGTTATCTACATTAACCAAAATTGTCATAGAGAATGTAAATAAAGGTTTGAGAAACTCATGGGGAACTCTGGAAGACTATAAAATTGTTTTCATATATATGGATAATGCAATGTTAAGAAAGTTGTTTATAACAATATTTTAAAACCAGAATATATAGAAGTTGTGTGGTGAGCACACAAAAAATAGTACATAGATATGTTAGAAAATATTCATAGAAACGTACCATTATGGCCGCCATAGTTAGCCAATGTGGACTATGACGAGAGGTTGAAAACGTTAGTTTCCCATGTTGCCTGACGGGAGAAGAAAGGGGAGACATAACCACACGAGGTCTTGACAGGATTTGAAAGAGTAGATAAAGATCTTAGCATCTGCAACATGGATAACAAAACGCCACCGTTGGAATGTGAGAAAAAAATATTGTGGAAAGGATAGTAGAAAAATTATCGCCTCGAATAGTTTGGATGACCAGTGTAATGCATTAATGGAAGAATTAGTAAATTCTGCAACCAATGGAAGTTTAATTATAATATACACAATGAATGGACGGAGCACCACAAACACAGCTGTGCTCCTGAAGCTACTAATAGGTAATTACATATACTGGTGAGCATAAGTACGACAATCACTAACGAGCAGCATCACCTGTTCATTAAACCATCCTTAGCATAAACAGCATCTCTCTTTCTAAGACACGCACACGTACACGCACACGTACACACTCTTCTCATTCTTACAGCTTCATTACTCACTGTTCATTTATGCATTTTATCTACGCCTGTATTCTATTTTCACAAATAACATTCTTACCCTGTTATCACAAACTTTTCAAGGTTCTCTTCCTTCCACTTATCTTCCTATTTATTGCAATCTATCGCTTTCATCGCAGAATTATCCCTTCCTCTTTCTCTCTCTCTCTCTCTCTCTCTCTCTCTCTCTCTCTCTCTCTCTCTCTCTCTCTCTCTCTCTCTCTCTCTCTCTCTCTCTCTCTAAGACTGATACACTTATTCAACATATGAGAATCTTTATTAAGGAATAGTTTTGCCACACAATGGCTTCTTCAGTCCAATACAAAGCACAGAGGGGTAAGGAGAGGAGAGGTGGAGTTTGAGGTAATCAGTCCTTCAAACCAATTATCACATCTGTCAGACACTGCAACATCATGGTATCCTGATACAAGGAATTCTTCAATACTTGTCCAACCTTAGGAAGAAATCCTACTTACACTAGTGGATGGTTCCACTGTAATCCCGCCTCTTCCTGCTTCCACTCACCAGACTACAGCATATAAGCCACTTCTACGACCATGTGCTGTACTTTCTACAAGACGGATGGACTGAACACATCGATTCCAGGCTGAGGGACTGATTATCTCAAACTCCTCTCCTTACCCCTCTCTGCTATGTATTGGACTGATGAAGCCACTGTGTGGCGAAACGTTTCCTTCATAAAAGATTCCCATATGTTGCACAAGTGTCTTAATCTTCAACTTGTCGGTTTTCAAACCATTTATCACACTCCTATTCCCCCCCTCTCTCTCTAAGAACAAGAACAGTGAAGGTCTATTGGCAGATGCAAGACTGGTCTTACACCCAGCCATCTAACTTATTTTTAAAATTAGTATTTCATCACACAACTTGGTAGTTTCTTCCACTCGTCTACAGCTATAATAAGTCTAAGTTATTATCTTTTAAACCTAACCTACAGCAGATGCTTCCACCTTCTTTTACACTGTATAACCAGTATTGTACCTATTATTGTACACTCTTCTATTACAGGTTTTTCTTCCACCTTCGATTTCTTACTGCTGTCTACTGTCCCGTGAGCCTCTCCTGGCTGCTCCCACCACCTCAGGCCAAGTTATAAAGACAATTTATGAGCAAGGGTGTATCAACACGGGACCGTACTGCATGGGCTACGTTCAGGACGCTGTTCTTTGCTCCCTTCCTTTCTCTATGTTTCTCTCTCTGCCTCTTTCTATCTCTGTTTAAATAATCTAGAATTGGAGAATTTCAAAATTCTCAGATGAGATTTGGACAAGCTATCGCAGTGGTCAGAAAAGTGTAGGATCAACTTCAATGTGCACAAGTAATTAATTTCTGAATATATATATATATATATATATATATATATATATATATATATATATATATATATATATATATATATATAATATATATATTAACAAGTCAGCCGTCTCCCACCGAGGCAGGGTGACCCAAAAAAGAAAGAAAATCCCCAAAAAGAAAATACTTTCATCATTCAACACTTTCACCTCACTCACACATAATCACTGTTTTTGCAGAGGTGCTCAGAACACAACAGTTTAGAAGCATACACATATAAAGATACACAACATATCACTCCAAACTGCCAATATCCCAAACCCCTCCTTTAAAGTGCAGGCATTGTACTTCCCATTTCCAGGACTCAAGTCCGACTATTTGAAAATAACCGGTTTCCCTGAATCCCTTCACTAAATATTACCCTGCTCACACTCCAACAGATCGTCAGGCCCCAAGTACCATTCGTCTCCATTCACCCCTATCTAACACGCTCACGCACGCTTGCTGGAAATCCAAGCCCCTTGCCCACAAAACTTCCTTTACCCCCCCCCTCTCTCCAACCCTTTCGAGGACGACCCCTACCCCGCCTTCCTTCCCCTATAGATTTATATGCTTTCCATGTCATTCTACTTTGATCCATTCTCTCTAAATGACCAAACCACCTCAACAACCCCTCTTCTGTCCTCTGACTAATACTTTTATTAACTCCTCACCTTTTCCTAATTTCCACACTCCGAATTTTCTGCATAATATTTACACCACACATTGCCCTTAAACAGGACATCTCCACTGCCTCCAACCGTCTCCTCGCTGCTGCATTTACCACCCAAGCTTCACACCCATATAAGAGTGTTGGTACTACTATACTTTCATGCATTCCCTTCTTTGCCTCCATAGATAACGTTTTTTTGACTCCACATGTACCTCAACGCACCACTCACCTTTTTTCCCTCATCAATTCTATGATTAACCTCATCCTTCATAAATCCATCCGCTGACACGTCAACTCCCAAGTATCTGAAAACATTCACTTCTTCCATACTCCTCCCCAATTTGATATCCAATTTTTCTTTAAATCATTTGATACCCTCATCACCTTACTCTTTTCTATGTTCACTTTCAACTTTCTACCTTTACACACATTCTCAAACTTATCCACTAACGTTTGCAATTTTTCTTTAGAATCTCCCATAAGCACAGTATCATCAGCAAAAAGTAACTGTGTCAATTCCCATTTTGAATTTGATTCCCCAAAATTTAATCCCACCCCTCTCCCGAACACCCTAGCATTTACTTCCTTTACAACCCCATCTATAAATATATTAAACAACCATGGTGACATTACACATCCCTGTCTAAGACCTACTTTTACCGGGAAGTAGTCTCCCTCTCTTCTACACACCCTAACTTGAGCCTCACTATCCTCATAAAAACTCTTTAGAGCATTTAATAACTTACCACCTATTCCATATACTTGCAACATCTGCCACATTGCTCCTCTATCCACTCTATCATATGCCTTTTCTAAATCCATAAATGCAATAAAAACTTCCCTACCTTTATCTAAATACTGTTCACATATATGCTTCAATGTAAACACTTGATCTACACATCCCCTACCCACTCTGAAACCTCCTTGCTCATCCGCAATCCTACATTCTGTCTTACCTCTAATTCTTTCAATTATAACCCTACCGTACACTTTTCCTGGTATACTCAGTAAACTTATTCCTCTATAATTTTTACAGTCTCTTTTGTCCCCTTTCCCTTTATATAAAGGGACTATACATGCTCTCCGCCAATCCCTAGGTACCTTCCCCTCTTTCATACATTTATTAAACACAAGTACCAACCACTCCAACACTATATCCCCCCCTGCTTTTAACATTCCTGTCCTGATCCCATCAGTTCCAGCTGCTTTACCCCCTTTCATTCTACGTAATACCTCACGTACCTCCCCCACACTTACATTCTGCTCTTCTTCACTCCTAAAAGATGGTATACCTCCCTGACCAGTGCGTGAAATTACCGCCTCTCTTTCTTCCTCAACATTTAAAAGTTCCTCAAAATATTCTCGCCATCTACCTAATACCTCCATCTCCCCATCTACTAACTCCCCTACTCTGTTTTTAACTGACAAATCCATACTTTCCCTAGGCTTTCTTAACTTGTTTAACTCACTCCAAAATTTTTTCTTATTTTCATTAAAATTTCTTGACAGTGCCTCTCCCACTCTATCATCTGCTCTCCTTTTGCACTCTCTTACCACTCTCTTTACCTTTCTTTTACTGTCCATATACTCTGCTCTTCTTATAACAATTCTGCTTTGTAAAAACCTCTCATAAGCTACCTTTTTCTCTTTTATCACACCTTTACTTCATCATTCCACCAATCACTCCTCTTTCCTCCTGCCCCCACCCTCATATATATATATATATATATATATATATATATATATATAATATATATATATATATTATTATATATATATATATATATATATATATATATATATATGCAATAAGATCACAGTAAACAAGTGATATCAAAATTTGCAGAACAACCATTGTGAAAAAATAATAAAATTCCAAGCGATTATTTGCTGTGGCACGAACCTTTACCCGGGGTCCCCACACAACTGCTTCCTGTCAAAACAGGTGTGGGGGCACGAGTCCCCCCACACCCTCCTTCCTGAGAAAGTAGGTGAGGAGGTGTGGGACCCCCACACCTGCCTCCTGGCAAGGCAGGTGAGGGGATAGTGTATATATACCGAGAGGCGTGCATCTCCCATTGTACATACTAGCATTAGGTGAGGTCGTTTAGTGTGTTGGCTTCGTGCGGCTCCACGCGTGACCACGAGGCAGCTCTGGGGTTGGTTGATACCCTAGTCAGCGTGTAAACACACCAGCCCTCTCTACAGCCTTCTCTGCTACGCAACGACGTCCATCTTGCAGTGGCACGAACCTTCACCCGGGGTCCCCACACAACTGCTTCCTGTCAAAACAGGTGTGGGAGCACGAGTCCCCCCACACCCTCCTTCCTGAGAAAGTGGGTGAGGAGGTGTGGGACCCCCACACCTGCCTCCTGGCAAGGCAGGTGACGGGATAGAGTATATACACCGAGGGGCGTGCATCTCCCATTGTACATACTAGCATACATCCACTCGAGATATATATATATTAATATATATATATATATATATATATATATATATATTATATATATATTTATATATATATATCAATATATATATATACATATATAATTATATACATATATAATATTATATAATATATAAATATATA